AGCAGTCTGCTGAAACTCCAAATGAGACTCCAAATGAAAGTCCAAAAGCCCAGGGGCATGTTTCTCAGAGCCAAGCTCAAGTCAAAAAACCCAAACTTGAAGACCTTGGACTAGAGGGATAGAAATCAGCCTTTGCCTTGAATCGGACCAGTTTGCAAGCAACAAAAACTTGCAGTTCCCCAGCCTAAGCTATCCCTGAGGTGTCGGAATAATAAAACACTAAAAACTCTTAAGAAAGTAGCAGCAGGACCAGCTTATATATTCACTGCAGAAGTGCATAGAGCTTGGCCCTAACATAAAGGCTTAAGTCAGGAAATAGGTTAGAAGGATGAGCAAACAAAAAACAGATCTCACCATTGAAAAGCTATTATGGTGACAGGGACACTCAAGACACAAATTCAAATGAAAAGAATTAATAGGCCAAAGATGGCGGGGCAGCAAGAAGTATAGTGGGCCTTGTACTCTCTTCCACTTCCCTCAAAGCCATCCTAATAGATCTAGAAAACATGCCAGACAGAATCCTGACTGAGAAATCCAAGAAAAGAAAATCACAGTGAATCACTGTTCTAGCCCAGATCAATACAGGGAGACAGAGAGGTCTCCAGAGATTGGGGAGGGTTTTGGTGAAGATCATGCTACAGAGAGGACTATAGCCCAAGGGAACACTAAAAACCAGGGCAAGAAGAGGCCCCCAAATATAGCAAAGCGGGTCAGTCCTAAATTTGTACAGGATCACCAAACAGGTGACAACTGTAAGCTATGCTGTACACTGCCCTGTTCTCAGTCATAGGTACAGAGTGGACTGAGGAAGAGACCTATGCCTAGAGGTAGTCATAAGCCATAGGCAGGGTTTCAGTTACAGGTTTTAGGCTCAGTCTGAAGTCTGTAAAGGAATAACTAGGGCAGGAATCTTAGATCAAAGGGAATTCTTAAGTTCTTTCATTCTGAACCAGTAAAGCTTCCCATTTGGCTAATAGTGGTTGAATTCTGTAGCAGTCCATTGAAACCCCAAAGAAGGAAGCACATATTGGATGTAAACCCAGGTCAAGGACTTGCAGAATTCAGGGAAGAGAAGTAGGAGTCAGACTTTGCCTAGGATCAGACCACTTAGGGAACAGTCTGTTCCTGAGATCCTGGAGTGACAACTCTCAATACCCCAGGAAAACAGCAATGAGATTAGCTTAGACCTTCCCTCTAGAACTGTGGCAGAAGCCAGTCCTAACACCAAGTCCAAAGTTGGAAATGAGGCTGGAAGAATGAGCAAACAAAAAATCAATCATGCCATAAAAAAGTTAGTATGGTGGCAGGGAAGCTCAAGAACAAACCCAAAAGGAAAGAATCAATACAAAACATCTATAAGCAAAGCCTCAGAGAAAAACACAGTCTGGGCAAAAATTCAACTAGAATTCTAGTTTATTTCACATTGAAAGCATTTCACATAAACTTAAAACTGTATAATACAGAGGAAGAAAATTGATTAAAATAGAACCAGATCAATATGATGTGTAACACAACACTCTCAGCCTCTTGAATTATAAAATAGCTGTTATAGACAGAAATTATATTGGGTAGGATACCAGCAGATATTACTGTTTTTGTTGTTAGTACAAACTTAATTTTAATAATTCTTGAGGAAATCTCACTGTAGAATCTCTTTCAAGAAAGGAAATCTTAGAAAGCTGCCCAGAGCATTGAGAAGTTAGCGTCATATCTATATCTATATAAAGTCAGCATGTCAGAGGCAGGATTTGAACCCATGTCTTCCTAACTGGCAGGCTGGTCCTCCTTTACTATTGATACGATGATAGCACTCAAATAGTGCTTTAAGGTTCGCAAAGAGCTTTACAAATATTATCTCATTGTATCCTTATCACAATCTTGGGAGCTCTGTAGGTTCCACTATTGTATTTATTTTACAGATGAGGAAGCTGAGATACAGAGGGCAAAGGATTTCCCAGGGTCAGACAGCTATTTAGTATCTGATGACAGATCTGAATTCAAGGCTTCCAAATTGCAGGTCTACCACTTAACGATGTCACTACCTAATCATATGTGTCTTTGTTTTATGGAGTAAAATAACCATGATAACTTTAAAATGGTAAAAATTAAGATATGCATGTATTTTATAACTCTTCACTGTCCTGAATAATACAGGGGTATTTTAGACAGAAAGTATTCAACAATGAATGCTGAAGAAAAACAAAAACCCAAACCACACAAAATAAAACCTCATATTTTCTTGGTTTTGTAGTTCAAATCTAAGCTTAAATGTTAATAATTTATATGTATGAAAACTCATTTTTCTATTAACCCTCAGGAATAAGAATCAAGAAGTTTCATTTAATGATTTCCGACTATTCAGTATATCTTTAGAAACATTACATCATAGCCACTGGGAATTATAGAGCCTTGCTTTTGTCTTCAAATTTGTTTTTGACCTAAAATGAAGAGAGCTGACATTCATACTCTTATAGAATATAACAGTAGGAAGGGATAGTAGAGATTGCTTTGACCATTACTCTTTTTATTCATTTATTTTTAGTTTTTAACATTCACATCCACAAGATTTTGAGTTCCAAATTTTCTCCCCATCTCTTTCTTCCTCCCACCCCAAGACAGTGTGCATTCTGAATACCCTTTCCTCTAATCTGCCCTCCTTTCTATCTTCCCCCCCTTCTCTTATCCCATTCCCCTTCTATTTTCCTGTAGGGCAAGATAATTTTCTATACCTCATTGCCTGCATATCTTATATCCCAGTTGCATGTGAAAACAATTTTTAACATTTGTTTTTAAAATTTTAGGTTCCAAATAAAATAGATAAACCTTTGGTTAATTTAATTTAAAAAAAAGAAAGAAGAAAACCAAATTACTAGTATCAAGAATGAAAAGGGTGAAGCTGCCACCAAGGAAGAGGAAATTAAAACAATAATTAGGAATTATTTTGCCCAACTATATGCCAACAAATTTGACAATCTTAGTGAAATAGATACATATTTACAAAACTATAAATTGCCCAGATTAACAGAAGAGGAAGTAAAATACTTAAATAACCCCAGCTCAGAAAAAGAAATTGAACAAGCCATTGATGAACTCCCTAAGAAAAAATCTCCAGGGCCAGATGGATTTACAAGCGAATTCTATCAAACATTTAAAGAACAATTAATTCCAATACTATATAGACTATTTGGGAAAACAGGTGAAGAAGGAGCCTTACCAAATTCTTTTTATGATACAGATATGGTGCTGATACCTAAACCAGGAAGAATCAAAATACAGAAAGAAAATTATAGACCAATTTCTCTAATGAATATAGGTGCAAAAATTTTAAACAAAATATTAGCAAACAGATTACAGCAACTTATCACAAGAATAATACACTATGGCCAGGTAGGATTTATATCAGGAATGCAGGGCTGGTTCAATACTAGGAAAACTATCAGCATAATTGAACATATCAGCACCAAAACCAACAGAAACCACAGCACCATCTCAATAGATGCAGAAAAAGCTTTTGACAAAGTACAACACCCATTCCTATTAAAAATACTAGAAAGCGTAGGTATAAATGGAGTCTTCCTTAAAATAATAAATAGCATATATCTAAAACCTTCAGCAAGCATTATATGTAATGGGGACAGGCTAGGAGCATTTCCAATAAGATTGGGGGTGAAACAAGGATGCCCATTATCACCACTGTTATTCAATATTGTACTGGAAACCTTAGCTTTAGCAATAAGAGAAGAAAAAGAAATTGAAGGCAGTAGAATAGGCAAAGAAGAAACAAAGCTATCACTCTTTGCAGATGACATGATGATATACTTAGAAAATCCTAGAGAATCAAGTAAAAACTATTCGAAATTATAAACAACTTTAGCAAAGTTGTAGCCTATAAAATAAACCCACATAAATCATCAGCATTTCTATATATTACCAACAAAGCCCAACAGCAAGAGATAGAAAGAGAAATTCCATTTAAACTTACCATAGACATCATAAAATATTTGGGAGTCTACCACCTGAAACAAACCCAGGAACTCTATGAACACAATTACAAAACACTTTTCACACAAATAAAGTCAGATCTAAATAATTGGAAAAACATCAGTTGCTCATGGGTAGGCCGAGCTAATATAATAAAAATGACAATTCTACCTAAGCTAATTTACTTATTCAGTGCTATACCAATCAAACTACCAAAAATTATTTTATAGAGTTAGAAAAAATAATAACAAGATTCATTTAGAAAAACAAAAGGTCCAGAATATCAAAGGAACTAATGAAAAGAAATGCAGGGGAAGGTGGCCTAGCAATTCCAGATCTTAAATTGTATTATAAAGCAGCAATCATCAAAACTGCTTGGTACTGACTAAGAAACAGAGTGGTGGATCAGTGGAATAGGTTAAATATGCAAGATATAGTAGATTACGTTTTAGGAAAGACATAGAAAATTGGAAGCATGACCAGAAAAGGGATGATGAAAGAACTAAGGAAAATGGTGTGCAAGAATGAACTGAGGGAACTGGGAACACTTAACCTGGACAAGAGAAGATTTAAGAAGGATATGATGGTCTTCAATATCTGAAGGGCTGTTATATAGGAAGTTGATTAAATTTTCTCTATTTGGCCCCAAAGAACACAAGTAGAAGCAATGAGTGGAAGTTTTGGAGGCAGATGTTAGTTACTTTGACAACAGCTTCCTAAAAATTATAGCTATCCCAAAATAAAAAGGTATGCCTGAGGTAGTAACATGTTTCAACTGTAGGTCCTTGAGCAGAGGGTATATGACCATTTGTTGAGGATGCTATAGAAGGGATTCTTGGTCATGTATAGGTTAGATTAGATGGCCTCTGAAGTACCCTGCAAATCTCAGATTTTGTTTCCAACACCCCACAGCATTTCTACCAAACACAAGTAGATTTACCTTCAATCTGTTTTCCTTTTCCCACACAGGCAAATGGATCATGCTGAATATGATCAGAGAGAAAATAAACATAACTGACACAGGTAAAAGAAGAGTGAGAATAGTATGGAAATTATCAGTAGAGATAGCTGGGAAGGGAAACCTCTTTATAAAAACAAAAGTGGTATTAAACAGGTCTACTGCAGTATTTCTTGCATGGTATCGCATTATGGCTTTATTAACAGCATGTTGTACAGTCAGGAACCCTTCAGCAAAATACCCTGAATAAGGAAAGAGAATAAACATTAACAAAACCTTGATCGACGTAATGTTTTATAACTTACAAACTTTACACATGCTTTAGCTCATATAATGCTTATAACAACATTGTGAGGTATTCCCATTTTACAGATAATGAAACAGGCTCAGAAAGACTAAATGAGGAGTCCAAAGTCCCAGAAAAAGATAACTTAAAAGATGACATATTTTCTGATGCCAAGTTCAATGTCCTCTTCACTAAAGATGTGCAGCACAATAGGTCGAGAAGCACATCCCATAATGGTACTTTCATTCACAGAACAAAAAACAACTGAGACATTAAAATCACCTCCAAATCATAATTCTTATTCCACAGTCTTGACTCCAAAGTCACAGTATCTTATTCTGGATAAAATTAGTGAAACCTTAAGTGACATGCTGAATCAGCTAGTAGAAAGGGGGTCTGGGGTGGGGAGGGGACAAAGTAAGTGAGAAAGGAATACCCAAAGAACTTCTTGATAAGTCCAGTACAAAAAAATCAAGATAGGAACTGAAAAAGTCCTTCACAACAATGACAGTGATAAGGTTTAACACTGGAAAGGACTTAGAAAACATCTTCAATCCCCTAATTTTATAAAAGTGACATTAAGTGATTTTTCTCAAGGAATTAAAGGTAGGTAGAAAGGCAGAACATGAACCCAGGTTCCTTGATATCAAAGCCATTTGGTTCTCTATCTTTCTACCATATTAAGCATTTAAAATCCTTCATAAGCTGGATCCAGCCTAACGTTCTGACCTAACTATACATTATGCCCCCTTCAAATACCCTATGGCCCAGCCAAACTGTCCTTCTTGCTGTTCCAAACAACACTCCACCTTCCTAGGATGAAACTTTCCACAAACAAATGAACAAATGAGAAAACATTTATTAAATTCTTACAATGTGAAAACACTGTGTTAAGCACTGGGAATACAAAGAGAAAAATCACTGAGTCCCTGTTCTCTAGGAATTCATATTCTAATAGGAAAAGTCAGTCCATAAAGGTTTTACTTATGTCAGATTGCTAGTGTTCTTAGGGTGTAGTGGCAAGGAAAATTTTTTTTCTTTAGTGTTATTTTAGTGTTTATTTTTATAAATAGTTTTAAAATAGAGTTTATTGTGTTATTTTAGTGTTATTTTTTTTTCAGTTAAGTGGAGTTAATCTTCTAACTCTCCACCACCAAAATGAAAAAAATAAACCCTCCTAACAAATATGTTTAGTGCAGCTATATGTGTGTGTGTATTTGGTTATTATAACAAACTATTTTTTTCCAGAAGAGACAGAAGATACAACATTTGGACTCTAGATGAGGAAGTGGAAATGCAAAACAAACAAGCAGGAAAGCAAAGAACAGCTAAATCAGGTCAACTATACACAAAGCAGTTCTATTCTCAAGATACGATTTTGAGGTCATTCAGAGCTGATCTCAAGCCATTAAAAAGAGAAAGATACCAAATGTTTGGAAAAGCAAGGACACTACTGCTACCAATCATTACAGGCTCGTCTACTTTCCCATCTCTACAAAATCTTTATGACAGTGATCTACACATAAACTGATAGCACCCTTGATAAAATATGAGAAGAGAACACCCAGGCTTCTACCAATGATATATTCTATAGCATATCACATCTTTACGGTCACACAACTGACTGGAAAAATGAAAAGAATACAAGATTCAGCTGTGCTATTATCTGAGGAATATTTTTAAAATAAATTTAAATTATTAGCACGAAATGCAGCTTTGAAGGCTTTCCTATACAAAGAGTTTCTTGTCCAGGTGTTAAAAATATTCTTTGACAGAAGCAATAACAAAACCAAATCTGTTCTATGATAATTTTATTTTTTAATGCATAACAACATAAAATAGGGAAAGAAATGCCTGCCAAAGTTGTTTGACATCATCACATAAGATGTCTAATGCGGCATCTGAATTGAGGAGGGATTCATTATAATGGTGAGGTCCACCAGATGCTCCCATTTGAGGATGGCACTGTATTAGTTGTATCACATCTTTAAAATGAGATCTATAATCACTTATATAGACTAGAGTTTAGTCTATCCATCAAGTAAAGACCAAGGAGATGATGAATGCCTTTGCCCATATAAGGCATAAAGCAACTAGGAGGAACAGTAGCTAGAGTCTTGGATCCAGTATCAGGAAGACCAGAGTGCAAATCCAGCTTCAGATAATTACTAGTTGTATGACTGTGGGCAAGTCACTTAACACTTGCTTGCCTCAGTTTCTTCATCTGTAAAATGGAGATAATTTTAGCACCAACCTGCTTCCCAGAAGTTGAGTCTCAAATGAGATAATGTTTGTAAAGTACTTAGTACAGTGCCTGGCACATAGTAGGTGCTTAATAAATGTTTGTTCATTTCCCCTCTACTCCTTCCCTTTTGAAATATACAACTGAACCAATAATTTATAAAGTTGATCCATTAAGAGACAGATATTTTGAGCAGACCCTACAATGAACTGGATCCAGAATTGAAGAAAAGGAAAGGCAAATATATTGCATTTGAGATTCATTTAGTGCTTTTAATCACTAGAAGCGCTTACTTGAAAGTTATAGGCACTCAAAGAGAGAGGGACCTGTATCTTTCCTTCCTTGATATGAGTAACTTCATTTCAGAAACTGATCTCCATTCCATTTAAAGTAAAGAGACATATTTTCCTTTTTCTTGCTTCCTTAAGCCCTCCTTACATTTACCTATTTTTTTTCTGAGTTAATATAAATCCTTGCTTCAGGCTATACAAAGATAAAATTCTGTAATAAGGCTAAAATGCCAGATAAGCCTACCTTAAAGGCTAATGCTAACACAAATAAAAGCAAGCTATTTTTCCTTAGAGGTATAGTCTCGTACGAGTGTGTAAGTGTGTGTGTGTGTGTGTGTGTGTGTGTGTGTGTGTGCGCACGCCTATGTTTATGGGCTCAGAGGAGATTAATTTCTTAAAAGCAGTCTCATCCATGGCTATATATATTTTTAAAGTTATGCTAGCCTGCTTATGACCAAGATAACATCTCTAATTCTCTATGATACCACATGAGTAGGGCAGCAAATTGATTCATCTAAAATCAATTTGGCTCAAAACAATTCACTAATCCAAATAAGGATTTATTTTTTAATTTTTAAAAACGTACCTGCTTTTATGATTTTGTAGGGGGTGAAATCAGTCTGATCTTATTGCTTTCTCCAGTGATTTTCAGGTGGTTGGGAATGGCAGTAAAGACACTGGATGATGGGGATTACCCAAGTAATGATAGGTCAATAGTGTACAGTAGCTAGTAAAACATTAAAGTGCAAACTTTAATGATCCAGGATAGATCCATGGAAACAACTGAAGCTAGAATAGGGTAGGAGGAGACTATGGATAAACCAAACAAGCTATTTATATTCAGTTCACTTTCAAAGAACCAAAGAACATTAACACTGGAAGAACTTGGGAAATCAATCACAGGTGAAAACTATGACTCAGGTTAAGTAATTTGCTCCAGGTCACACAGCAAGTTAGTGGCAAAGCTATCACTGGATCCCACATGTCATTCTAAGGACATAAGTAAAGCTTTGTGTCTGAGGCCATGGAGACTGACAATTTCCCACAATTGCAAATTATATGTAGGGTTTCTTTGGGACTATGAACATATTCCCTGAGTCTGGTGTTTGAGTCATTGTTGGTGGAATCTAGCCTCTGGAGTATGGAAGACAAGGGCTTTTTGGTGTTTGCAGCTAAAATAAATAAATCAGCACTGGTATACAGCAGCTTGTATCAAAGAGAGACTGAATAAAATAGTGTGGAAGTATGAGTGTCAGGAGGTTGGGAACCCCAGCAGTTTGTACAACAGTATGCATTAAAGCTAAGAAAATCAGTTTGAGATAAGGCTGCTATTGCAGTTTCATCAAGTTCATAGGGACTCAGTATGTATATGAAAGACATTTGTCCTGTGCTCCAAATCCCCCATGGTAATACCAGCATTCTAGAACAGTGATGAGATTATTAATCAGAATTTATTTGGTAGCACTTAAATGAATCTGTAAGTTTCTGAATTCCCTATAGTTTCTGGGAGAGAAGAACAAGTGCCTTGAGGAGCAGAAAGGTTCCTAGAACTCAGAACATAAATGAAACTATCTGGAATGTGTGAATGACTCCCTAACACTAATATTCCTGACACTAAACCTATTGCTCTTTCCATTACCCTATGTTCAAAAAATGATGTAAATCCAAGCCAAAATTGTTAACTGCTATATTAATATTATGATGCTACTCGAGTTATCAGGCAGATGAAACGTCACAAACTTTAAAAGTTTTAATCAGAAAAAATTACAAAACTGAAAGAAAATAAAAACTCTAATCAAATACTTTCCTTGAATAGTCTTGCTCAAGTAATTTTTACTCAACCAACTCTACTATCTCTGGTTTTGATCTACCTTTAATTGTGCAGTAGAGAGAGACATTTTCATTTAGCTTCCTTCCATAAACTTGGAAGCCTAGATTATTAAAGGGGCTGGACGCTTTTGAACCATAAACAATACAAATTAAAAACACAAAATTAAATCTTTTTATCCACAATGATAAAATAAACATAAAGATTTCAGGGGGCAGCTAGGTGGCACAGTGGACAGAGCACCAGCCCTGGAGTCAGGAGGACCAGAGTTCAAATCTGGCCTCAGATTTTAACATGATACTCACTAGCTGTGTGACCCCCGGCAAGTCACTTAAACCCAATTGTCTCACACACACACACAAAAGATTTCATCAAAGGTTAAAAAAACCTCAAGCACATAAAATGCAAGTAAGCAACTAATCTATTAAACAAAATAATATTTAAGTTCATTCTTACCAGGTGCTCCTCCATCATCAAACTCAGGATTTCTTGGTCCAAAATCAGGAAAAACTGGAAAGAGAAGGTCTGTACGCCAACCTGCTACCTCTCCTTGAATTACAGTACTCTTCCAAAAGTACCAGACGTTTCTTGCAATGTTACTGAAACGTAGGGAGTAATTAACCTATAGAGAACAATCAGAAAACTATACCTGTAAAAATATGTAAACTAGGGAAGAAATTATTTTAAACAATATTTTCTTTCTTCCAATTGCATGTAAAAACAATTTTAAACATTCATTTTTATACAACTTGGAGTTCCAAATTTTCTCCCTCCCTCCTTCCTTTCCCCTCTCCTTAAGACGTCAATCAATTTGATCAAGGTTATATATGTGCAATAATGTAAAACATATTTCCATGTTAGTCATGTTATGAAAGAAACAGAACAAAAGGAAAAAACAAAAAAAAAATAAAGAAAGTGAAAATAGTATGCTTCAATCTGCATTCAGAGTCTATCAGTTCTTTCTCTGGATGTGGATATCATTTTCCATCATGAGTCTTTAAGGATTATCTTGGATCATTGTATTGCTAAGAAGAGCTAAGTTAATCATAGCTGTCATTGTACAAGGCTGTTGTTACTGTGTACAATGTTCTCCTGGTTCTGCTCACTTCACTTTGCATGAGTTCATGTAAGTTTTTCAGGTTCTCCTGAAATTCTCCTGCTTGTCATTTTTTATATCACAATAGCATTCCCCCATGCACCACTGTTTCTGTAAGGTCTATTTACAGAAGGGGACTTGCCCCAACATAATTTATTAATGTGTTGGTCATGGGTGGTCTCAAAGACCAAAGGGTGAATTATTATAAGATTAAGACTGATGTTTTGGGGGCCATCCCCTTCCAAATTAATTTCATTGGACTATCTGGGATAAAATTTCTTTAGTCCCTATTCTCATATATTAGGGTTACAGCATTAGAATAAGCAGAGATACTAGCCCAAACTCCATTTAAGTCCACCAAATAGCTTGTGCCATGTCACAGGCCTGGGTCAGAATTTGCCCCACCACTGAGCTTCTGCATGAAGGTGATCAGTCTTGTTTGAGTCTCTCTTTGCATCTCAAGGATTCTTACACTGATCTTCACTTGCCAGGATTAGACCTCTTTATCTCTTCAGGGCCATCTCAGGCATCTCAGAGCACAATGCTTGGAACCTCAAGAGTACTTAGGCCTGTGCCATCCTGGTATGAACACTGTGGTTCCATACAGCTTGGGGCCTGTTGACTCTCCTCAGGGCAGCAAATATTCCCATACTGGGACTTTCTCAGAGGAGCCACACCCTCTACTCTTTGCTGCCTCAGGGGTCAGAGTTTTGGGGGCTACAATCATCTCTGGTTACACAGCGAAGCTCCTTTTTACTGGTACTGGCTTTGTTGGAGGGTATTACTTTCTTATTTTCCAAGGGCTTCTGGATGACTTTGTTCAGTACTGAGTTGGAGGAAGTAATTTACTATAGTTACTCATTGAATTTCTTGATCATTAAGAGGTCTGGAGTGAACCTTAGGTATGTAGTATTTTTGCCTTTCTCTGTAACCCCAGTATTTAGAATAATGTCCGGTCAGTAAAACTAATTTATTTGTTCAATGCCATGACAATCAAATTACCAAAGAATTACTTTAAGGAGTTAGAAAAAATAATAACAAAATTCATCTCAAGGAACAAAATATCAAGACTATCAAGGGAATCAATGGAAAAAATGTGAAGGAAGGAGGCTTATCATTAATAGTAAGACTTCAGGAAAATACAAATAGTTCCTCTTCGGAAAAAAAGCTAAGGAAACCTGTTCCCTCCAAAATAAATTCATTTTTGATTGATCTTTCTTGCACTCACTACCCCCCACATGGCAGTCAAGTGAGTGATCATCCAACATGTGACAAAAAATTAAGCATCAAAGCACTATTGCATAACAATTGATGTATGACTGATTGAGGACTTTTTAGATCTGTGGGTTCCTAGACCATATTAAATATCTGGGATAAAGAAGTACCTTATTGAAGACTTTCCTACCTGAAGGGGTAGGGTGTCTTTGCCATCATGTAAGTCGTGATTAAAAATTATGGCAACCAGCACATTAGAAGAGTTACAGCTATATTTCATGTAATCTTCAAAAGCGTACTCTGAAGAAAAGCCAGTAACTGTGGAAAGAGAAAATCTTTAAATTAAGTTAGATGCATTTTTATATGGTTCTATGATTTCATAATGTAGGAAGCTCAAGATGAGGAATTTCCTCTAGTAATCTAGACTGGCATCCTCTGTGCTGTAACCACAGTCTTAGAGAGTTACCTGAGATCATAGAGCCAGTAAGTGGCAAAGGCAAAAAATGAGCCTAGGTCTTCTTGATTCAGAGGCTTATTCTATTTACTATAACACACTGTCTATATAAATGAAATAATATCTCATAGTTCCTCCTATCTTACATCTTCAACCATTAAACCACTTCACAACTCAATTCAACAAATCTCTATTAAGCAACAACTATTACAAGAACAGAAGCTTCTCAGGCTTACCAAAGAATAATAAACTTCTGTTTAATCATGCTTTTCATTTCTCAGTAATTTACTCTCCTGGCTTCTCTCTTATCTACTTAGTCTCTTCCTTCAACTACTTCTAAGCTACTACCTATCATTTTGTAATGAGTAAAGCTTTAGGACAAACAACAAAAAGTACATATCAAAGTTTAAAAGAAAAAAAGTCATACTGGGCATAATTGGTTCCTCTAAAAGTGAATAACTTTAAGGAATACAGGAACACAGTGTAAACTCCCTCACTAAAGCTTTGAAATGTACCCTGTGAAGAAATCAGATACTTCTATGAGTTTGGGTAGTATTTTAAGTGGTGAACTATTTTCATTTGATCCACACATGCTCTCTGATGTTTAAGGGTGAGGAAATGGCATAGTTAACTGAAATCACTTGTGGTAGCAGGAAGAAATTGGTTATCTTACTATCTGGCTGTGAGGTTTGCAAGTATTTTTAAACCTACCAGTGAATTAAAGCCAGAGAGTTAGGAGCTGGGAAAAGCCTAGGTCAGCATGAAGACTCCTAAGAAAGAGAATATTTTGTAGTGGAAAAAGCACTGTCTTGAGGTCAAGAAAAATTGATTTCCACTTCTAACACTTACTAGCTATGTTACCACAGGCAAGTCACTTGCCTTTTTAGGCTTCAATTTTCTTTTACGTAAAATAAGGATACAGCTACAATATCTATATAACAGGGTTTTGTGAGGCTAAATGTGATTTTTATTATGTATGTATACATACATGTACAGATATATAAAATCATACATAATGTATAGATATACATATATGTATACACATATAAAATACACACACATATAAAACATTATATGCATATATAGTATTAGAAAAAGGTTTAGCTATTCTATTATGAATTATACCACAAGGGAGCAAAGGTATCTATCTGTTAAGATTCAAGATTTAAGTAATGTTTGATGCTATAAGGCCAAAATTCACACAATGTGATGTCTTAGGGAAAATACCTATACTGTAGTATATTTATGAACCTTATGATTTTCCAGCATCCACTGGGCAGATATTTTGATCTTCTTAGATCTCCTGCACAATTTTTAAAAGTCACTGTTTACCCTGTAAATAGATACTCCTACGTTGAACAAAAAATGATTCATGGTCTATAAAGGAGAAAAGAAGGTAGACAATGAACCAGGAGGTACCAGGATGGTGAAAGTGGTGTGGAATATAAAAGAAAAGAGGGGCTAAGGAACTAGAGAGACTAGCTGTGAAAAAATTTTTGAAGGAAGTTTCTCTGACATATAGAGAATTTGTTTTTCAAACATATAGAGAATTGAGTCAAATTTATAAAAATAAATCATTCCCCAATTGATAAATGATTAAAAGACACGAATAGTTTTCAGAGGAAGTAATAAAAGCTATCTATAACCATATGAAAAAACGCTCACTATGGATTGGAGAAATGCAAACTGAAACAATTCTGAGGTGCTGATGGGGTAATTGGGTGCTTGTACTGGGACCCAATTCCAAGACCATATTTCTCCCTAGCCTCAGAAACACTGTACCTGGCAGTTTCCACCCCTCCCCACCTCTCTCCCCGCCCCCCCCCCCCCCCCCCGCCCAAGGACAACTGTGCCTAGCAATTACTCATGAGTGGCCCCCAGCAAGACACTTATCTTTCTCCCTGGTGCAGTTACACAGAGGTGGGTGAGAAAGTGATGGGCTGCTCAGGCCCCAGCCCTACTATCAATTTCTTAGTAGGCTCCTGTCCTGTGAGAAAATTTTCTCTTGTTGCAGAATACATTCTCTAATCAGGACTGAGAGAGAGGGGTGCCTGACCCAAGAATTTTTGTCCCTGGCTGGCTCAAGGACTCTTCCTCCCACCAGATTCCCAAGGTTCAGGCCTCTGACAACTCCCTCCCTGTCTGGTATACTCCCTACATTTTCTCACCCACAGCTCCCGAAGACACCTGGACCTTTAGATTACCTAATCAGTACCCCTGGCATTCTTTTCCATATAAACCCCAGCTTCATCCTCAGTCTCTCACCAGTTCCTTAAGAATCCTTGCCCGCTGAAAACAGTAACAATAAATCTTTGCCAACTTGACTTAAAGAATGCTTCAGTCTGTAAATTCATTCCAGACGACCTCATTCTGTACTCTGGCCTTTGAGGGGTCTCAACCTCTCAGACCACAACAGTGCAACTTCATACCTATTAAATTGGCTAACAGGACAGAAAAGGAAAATGACAAGTGGTGGAGAGGATGTGGGAAAAGTGAGACATTAATGCATTGTTGGTGGAGTTGTGAACTGATTCAGCTATTCTGTAGAGCAATTTGGAACTATGCCCAAAGGGCCATAAAATCATGCATACCCTTTTGACCTAGCAATATCACTGCTAGGTCTGTCCCCCAAAAGAAATTAAAAAAAAAAAAGGAAAAGGGCCTATGTGTACAAAAATACTTATTGCAGCATTTTTCTGGGGGGAAAGAACTGGAAATTGAAGAGATGCCCATCAACTGGGGAATGGCTGAACAAATTGTGGTAAGTGATTGTGGTGGGATACTATTGTGCTATAAGAAATGATAAGCAGGATATTCTCAGAAAAACCTGGAAAGACTTAAATGAGCTGATGCAAAGTGAAATGTACTGTGTACAATATAACAGCTATATGGTAAGATGTTCAGCTGTAAATGACTTAGCTATTCTCAGCAATACAATGCTCCAAGACAACTCGGGGAGACTTATGATGAAAAATGCTATCCATCCCCAGAGAAAGAACTGATGGTGAATACAGACTGAAGCACACTTTTTTAAATTTTCTTTATTTTTCTTGACTTTTTTTTGGTCTATGGGTTTTTTCATAACATGACTATCAGGGAAACATTTTTGCATGACTACTCATGTATAACCTATATCAAATTGCTTGCCTCCTCAATGAGGGGGTGGGGAGGAAGGAAGGGAGATAATCTGGAACTCAAAGTTTTAAAAACGAATGTTAAAAATTGTTTTTACATGTAACTGGGGGAAAATAAAATACTAAATAATTTTTTTTAAAAAAGGTAACAGTCAACATTGTTAAAAGCTGCAAAACAGAATTAGACCTGGGGAAAGGCTACTTGAGTTTGCTATTAAGAGTATTGGTCTCCTCTGAGTGAACAGTCTCAGTCAACTGGAGGGGTCAGAGGCCCAAATACAAGGGACTGAGAAATGAAAGAATTAAGAAAATGAAGACAAGCACAGATAGCCCTTTCTAAGAGTCTGGATGTGAAAGGGATAAGAGCTATGGGATATCAGGTTTAGGGAATGACAGTATCTAGTGAACATTTTTTTAAATATTGGGAAGACCATGACATGCTGGTAAACAGTAAAAAATGGAGTCAGTGGATGAGGAGAAATGGAAAATATAAGAAAAAGAGGGGATGATAAGAGGGCAAGCTCCTGAAAGCGACAGGTGGGTATGGGATCAAAAGTAAAAGCAGAGAACAATTACTATTTTTCTAATTATTTTAATCTGATTTTATCTGTATAAAAAGTTCTTATAATTTTGTTTATATAGGGTTCCTTTTGACAGGCTTACTTCCAGGTATTTTATACTGTCTAGAGCTATTTTAAATGGAGTATCTTTTACTATCTATTCTTGCAGAGTTTTGTTTATATTTTGTTTGATATATAGGAATGCTGACGATTTATGTGATACACGTGGATTTATTTTATATCTTCTACTTTGCTAAAATTATTGCTTCACTAACAGTTTAATTATTAATCATTTATGAGTAGGCAAGACCAATATAGTGAAAATGACAGTTTTACCTAAAATAACTTATATATTCAATGCCACCTCAATTAAATTACCAAAATATTTTTACTGAATTAGAAAAAAAAACCAATAAAAAATTCATTTGGAAAAACAAAAAGTTAAGAACTTCGAAGGAACTAATGAAAAAATGTAAAAGAAGGAGGTTTAGCAGTATCAGATCTTAAACTATATTACAAGGCAGTAATTATCAAAACTATCTGGTAATGGCTAAGAAACAGAAAGGAAGTGAGTAGGCATACAATTTAGAACAGCAGATAAATTTAATAACCTTGTATTTGACAACTGTAAAGATTTAAAATTTTGGGATAAGAATTCATTATTTAGTAGAAATTGTTGGAAAAACTGGAAAGTAGCCTGGCAAAAACTAGGCATAAACCAATATCTTACACCAGAAGAACATGGAACATATTACTTATCAGACTTATGGATAGGTGGACAACTTATGAAAAAAAAAAAGAGAGCAAAATTAGGTATAAAATGAATAATTTGATTACATTAAATTAAAGAGATTTTGTTCAAATAAAATAAATGTAGCCAAGATTAGAAGTAAAGCAGAAAATTGGGGAGAAATTTTATGTTTCTCAGATAAAGGTTTCATCTCTCAAATATAAAAAGAACATAAACTCTACAAGAATAAGAGTCATTCGCCAAGTGATAAGGGGGACATGAACAGGCAGTTTTCCAATGAAGGAATCAAAACAATTTATAGTAATATGGAAAAAATGGTCTGAATCACTTTTGATTAGGAGAATGCAAATTAAAACAACCTTAAAATATCATTTTATACCTACCAGATTGGCCAAAATAACTGAAGGGGAAAGAGATGAATGATGAATGGACAGAAAAATTGGGACACTAATTTATTGTTGGTTTAATTGTGAACTGATCCAACCATTTTGGAAAGCAATCTGCAATTATGCCCAAAAAGTTATTAAACTGCCTATATACCCTTTGAGCCAGCAATATCACTACTAGATCTATTTTC